AAGATGTCGAAACCTTTAAATACCTGAACAGCATCACTGATAAACAAGGTGAATATGATACAGATGTAAAGACACGGATTGGTTAATAAATTCAATATTTAACAAAATTGTTAGTTATACTAAGTTGTTATTTTACACTGATTGAATTTTTGAATTATAAATAAAAGGAAATTCACATTATCATTATTATGATTACTATTATCATTACTGAGAAACATTAAATTCAACATTTAACTCTCAATGTGATGATTAATGAATATGCTGTTGGATTTATGCATATTTCTAAATTAGAATTTTTATATGATAAATAGAAAGAAACTTTGCAGAGAATAATTTTAATTAATAATAGTAATAATAGTGAAGTGTATGTAGTTCGGCACAAATATTAATTAATCTACAATTGAAAAATATTTACATATTAACATACAAACACAGCTGGTATCTAAATCGAAATTATCCTATCCAGTTAAAATAATGCTAGCTTCTATTTTTTTTTTATTTTTTTTGAAAGAAAAAACAATGTTTATACTGTTGTGTCGATTGCATAAATGTTTACTAACTCCTTTTCGTTTTTTTTTCACATCATAACAGTGTTACTTTTACGAAAATCATTTGTAATGAATTGTACTCTCTTTATTATTATTATTATAACTATTATTATCACTATTACATTGAACATGTTCAAATAGAAGAACAAGGTGGGAGGGGGGGGGCTGGCGGACAAATTGATGATTGGTGGTGGAGTTTTGTAAAAAAAAAAATACTAAATACACCTCTTCATGTTTCTTTTGCAATATATACGTGTTTATTTATTATTTATAGATGTAATACAGCCTAATGTATATGCATACATGTACGATCCACATCTCATTAGTAGTATTCTATCAATCAACATGTAGTCATCGCGTAAGAAAGAAATCGACAATGAGATGTGTGTTCTTGTGAATATTTATGTATATATATATATATATATATATATATATATATATATATATATATATATAAAATTGTGTAAACTGTATGAAAACAACAGTCCATTTTGTTTTTTTCTTCTCTATAATTGTTTTGGTAACAAATTATATTTAACAGTTGGTGGTTTACTTAATGAGCTTGTCAAAATTTTATGTTCAACAACAAACAACGTGTCAGTAGTACAAATAAGGATGGAATTATATTATGAGAAAAAAAAGGATTTTCCATTTCCACTTCCAGTTTCTTTATTATTTTTTCGTCTTAACAATTGAATGAATCATAAACGGTATGAATTGAAATAATGCTAAATTATTTGTATGAATATTTTCTGGTTAAGTTAGCTTAAATTAAAAAAAAAAAAAGAAGCAATGTTAGTAATATACAACATGTACAAGCTTATCATTATTTTTCAATCTGTCTACAAAGAAGATTTTATCCACCACCCTGAGTATCTCACATTCAAATAAGCAAATATTAAACTTAATGATAAAAATTTTCTTCCATTGGAAAGAAGGTAAACTTAACAGTTCATTCTTACATAAAACTGTCAGGACTCAATAAATTATGTTTCTTCTGTTACTCAAATAAAACCATAGATTTCTTATTGACATACAGAGAATTTGACTGATAACGATAGAAAACCTTCATAAATTCCCTTTTCTATTTTTGATTCAAAACTTAGTTCATTACTTGGTATTTTAGAGAACGAGAAAAGATCTATCAAAACTTTTACTAACAACGTTATAGATTTCAGCTCCCAGACTCTTAAACAGCACATAACAACCGAATCCTTTTATTTATATTGCCAACTTAAAAAAAATGCTCTTAATCGATTCGGAATCTACGAATGATTTATTACGATGACCGATTACCAGAATTATCTTTCAAAACCATTTAAACAGTCTAACAAACTCGTTTATAAGAAATTTCTAGTAAAAAATTATAAACACTTCAGTAACTTTGGCAATTCGGTTGTTCAGCCCTAAATTTTAGGAGGATTAGCTGCTGATCCAACCACGTAATTAGCACTCATTCTAATAATGTTGTTGATTTCTTATTTAGCATTAGCTTGTTATCAAACAATGTCAAATTTTTTCAAACGATCAATCTGTTGTTACTGCATTTTTCATTGCTTTTTATTACTAACCAAGTGGGTAATGAACGTTTGTAACTTTGATTCTCGTACTGGTTCCTCTTAATTATTAACCCTTAAGACCACTAGGTAAACCATCTTGCGATGCATGAAATTCCTCAACAAACTGTAATGTTATGCCGCATATGTTAAACTACTATAAAAATAGTTGTACAACTCCAATACCCAGAAAAATAAAATTTTCTCACTAAACTGTGCTTGTTTCCTAATCAGTAACAATAATAGGTGATGATTTTATGTTATTTTTATTTAACGAACATTAGAAAATCACTGGTCAGTGATCGAAGTCTTCTGTTTAGTTACAGTTACTGCTGATCAGATGTATTTAAATTGTATATTTGTCTAGCGCACTAACGCTTAACCTACAGGCCTTGGAGCCGGTATCTATCGGTGTTAATATCTAACTTCCATCAATCCACGGGCTCGTGCAACCTCATTCACTGTCATCAGAGGGTACTACTTCACACCTCGTGGCGCTGAATTCCACTGGCCACGGCTTCTCACTAGATCTCGAAGAAACTTCCTCACGGAGCAAGTCATTGATAAGCACATGATTATTTCGATTGTTGAGTTTCACTGATATGAACTAACAATCTTGTCATAAAAAATAAACAAAATTCGTGCAATGATATTTTATTTATTCAGAACAATTCTCAACTGAACATTATTGGTACAAGGGATTTCATGTAAAATGTATCATATGAACTATTTCATTGAGTGAACAATGATACATATTTATAGACATTTTTAGTAGTATCCTGATCAGTTATGAACAGTCACATGTTAAATAAAATTATATAAGATTGAGGAGATTAAAAATTTAATTAATTTTGATAAGATAAACATTTTCATAACAAAATAACGTGAAAATAATGAAACTTTTGTATTTCAAAACTTGAAAATAAATACTAACTAGTATTTACAATGGTATCAAATTTTTAAATATTTACAACTACATTTTCTTTGTTTATAAGAACTCACGTTTTTTTTAAGATTTTCATTATAATATCAATTTATATATATATATATATATATATAACTGGTTATTAAACACAGATAAGTGAATTGTTTTTAAACTAAACAATTACTGAACAATAAGTTCATGTACTTTTATTTCTACCGACATATGTATTTTATTTGTGAAATTGTCAGGAAAACTTAGTGAACAAGATGTTTTATATCTGTGTTATATATTTATTAATAAACAGTGTGAAAACTATTATCAAATAAAACAGTGTAAGTTTCTCTTCGGAAATGTTAACTCTGTTTTGAAACATTATTCTTTTTGATGAAGACATTCAATTTTGTAATCTTTATTTCTTTTGCTAAAATATATTACTTATTAAAATTATTAAAAAAAACTTGGAATTCAAGTTTAAGGTTCAGAGGAACTGACAGAAAAACAACTTGTTACCAAATAAAGTAAACAACAATTTAGAAACCTAGTCATATATTATGTTGGATGTTTGAAAGTATGATTGTTTTCATGTGATAAAAAACGTTATTGAAATGTTTTAGCGTTGGTATTCTAGTGTAAATGAGTTAATAATTGATCGTTACTCATATTTTTGCGAAGTATCCCATTACCGAACTCGTTTATTTAGAAAAAGGGCAGGAATTAGTGTTAAAAGTAAAAAATGTTTTACTGCATGCATGTTTCATTTAAAATATTCATTTGTACTATGATAACTATAAGGGTAACTTGAAATATAAGAATTATCTTCAATGTCCTAAATGAGTATTGCTCAAATAGAGTCTGGGTTCTATAATCTTTAGTTTCAGTTTATTATTAGGGATCACTTAATTATGTTTTCATATATGTCAGCTTTCATTATGCCTAAAAGAACAGTTGTATTACTTTTACTACTCAAAAGTAGCATATATTTTATACCGAAATTTACTTTCGTGATTAGAAAAAGAGGAAAAATACGTGACCTTGCTAAACGAATAATTGGTACCACCTTGGTTCCTAAAAACACTGGAGAACAGTAAACAGTTGTTGCTTCTAACATATTACTTATCAGACTTGAAAAAATGGAGTTGGTCAGTGTCGACAGTAAGGAAGTCATCCATCAAAGTCATTTGATAAACTTTGTTCAGTAAAATGAAGCTAGGACTTTCACTGAATATGGTTGGTTGCTTTCCGGGAAGTAATTTCAAAAGTAAAACCCTGTCAATCTTCATAATCACTGGATCATAAGGAATAATCCGGCCCCTAAAAGAGGATATTAGCGACACTTGTGAAATTGAGGATCATTTTAACAAAGTTTCAAAGATTTCAAGTAATACTTCCAGGACAAACATCATGAACTTGAAGGATCATCCCGTGCTTTTATGCAGAAAGAAAACAATCGATCTCGTCTACTTTATTCACAACAGGGAGTGTAACATGATTTCGCAATTAGGGTTTTTGCTGAAGCTCCTATAGGTCAGAGTTTTCTAGTGACTGAGATCGTGACAACTTCGAAGTCTTTTCTCAAAAACTAGCACTTAATAAAGCACTGCAGGTCATGATCCCCCCTATTAATTATCTGTTATATTAATTATATATCGAGTTGAATTAAATATTGAATGGGCATTAAACAGATAACTTTGAACTATAACGAGGAGTGGCAGATGACAGTACAGGGAAGATATCTTGTCGAGTTTACAATCGAGAACGAGTCACATCCTCATGAGGCACAATTTTCTCTATCATGTAACTGAACCCCGGATTTGTTATCCCAAAAGAACCCTGCTTCTTTGATTGACTCATCGAAGAGAAATCTAGATAGTCAAGGGTGTTAACTTCAAAACGATTACAATATTCCGTAATTCAAGTATCGCTTAGTTGCTTACAACATAGTTTATGCTATAATTAACAAATCAACTACCATTTCATTACTAATAACTTTTATTGTTAATATCGTTAACATTGATTTCTTATTGATCTAAAGGTAAAAAACCTGAAGCAAAAATTTATAATCGTATAAAATTAAAAATGTCGATAAACAAGTGAATTCACGAAATTAAAATTAAAAAGATCGAAAAAAAAGCGTTGTATTCAAATGGTTTTTTTGTTTTCTTGTCAAAAACTTGATTACAGTTCATAAACATGAAATGATTGAACAAAATAAAAATAACTGTACTATCTTAATGAAAAAAAGAAGTAATGATAAGCACACATTTTAGTAAAAGTAAAGTGAAACAATGAATGGTTATAAAAAGGTGTAGCGATAGACTTGTAGAAATATGTCTGTTTTTTAAAAAATTAAACTAAACATATCAAAGAGTTCAAAGTGGGAACAGAATTCCCCCAAATAACTGGAATTTATCGTTTATACATAGTTGGATCCTTCCACATACAAATTTCACATGCTTTTATAACAACAACAACAACAACAAAAATGACTACTGAAAAAAAAGATGTTTTTCAGGAGACATGTTGTTATTGTGCAATCCAGTGTCGTCTTATTTTTTGTTTCTACAAGAGGCGCCATTATTTTGGATATGTAAATTGAAGAGATGTATAAAAAAAACGACTTCATTACTTGCAACCTAAATATTCACGGTAATAATTGGAAATGTTTTCAATGTTGAAACTTTCAATCAATCATAAAAATAACAGAGTCCCAGTATAAAGGAAATACATGATTATGATATACTGATTTCTGAAAATCAACCTAGTCGATTTAAAAACATTAAACAAAGTAATCATAGAGTATTAGGTGGTTAATAGACAAAATGACAATTAAGTGGTCATTATTATAAACAAAATTCATACATCATAATAGAAATGAAAACAGTAATCATCTTTATTCATTGTATACAGATCAGCAGTTTGAAATTGTGGGGAAAAAATTTCTTTTAATAAACTAGCGGATATTGATTCATTCAAAATTACTGATTCGTTGTTTTAGTTTTGTTACATTTGTATCATATAGCATTGAAACGTGAAAAATAAACAAAGAATTAGATTTTTTTTCAAAAAATATCAACATATATGTTTATTTAATAAGGCATTTCATATGAATATTACATCATCATTGTAATTTCAACAAACTAAAGAAAATGTTTTTCATAAAAAAATAAAAAAAATTGTTTTTCAATCATATATTGTTTCACTTGATAATTGCTGAATAAAACAAATTGTGTTTATTTCATTTAACTTGATGTATTGGAATGGTGGTGGAAGTGGTTTTCGACATTTATTTGTTAGTTTATTTCAATGATCACTATTATTTATTATTACTGTTACTATTATTATTATTATTATTATTTGTGCACGCATCCAGTGTATTTGATAGAACTGATGTATGTGGATTTAAATGTGTAGTTTGTAGAATAGCTTGTTCTAATGCCTGTATGAAAATGAAAAAAAAGGAAATCAAATATTTATATATGAATAAAGAGAAATCGGTTGATAAATGTAATAATTTATATGTCATTCACAGCATGTAGTTAGCAGTGGAATTCAGAATGCGCGCATCTTACTTTCAACAACAAGTCAGCTGAATGTACTACAATGTATGTACTATTACTAATGAAATTAAAATGCAATAGTGTTTAGTAGATAACCTGAATGTATATGCATTTTGGTGTTAATTTATGCATGGAAATGAGAACTCATTAGCCACCTCTTTAAATGCCATCTGAGAAAATATAAGGGTTAATGAGAATAGGAAAACAATAATACTCTATTAGGTAATTGACAGTTGTGAAATTTCTAAGAACAATAATTTACTCAGCAATTTACATATAAATTAAACAAATCTTTTAATAGGTGTCAAGGTGAAACCATGTAAATTTCAGTAAGATAACAAGACCTGAATCAAATCATTCAAAAGATCTCATGAAGTATGAATGAAATTCTATGGCCACTTGTATAATAAAATACCAATATGTTTAAGATTTATTTATTAAAAGTTAAAATAAAACTCATTCATTACAACCTAATTCAATAAAATAGTTGAAAATTTGGGAATATATTAAGAAACAGTGTAATTAGTGTCAATTAAATTTTTTATTTCGAAACAAACGAAAGATACATACTGTATCATTGCTGAAGAATACTGTTAATTCAGTTAGGAAAATTTTCTTTTCAACTGCCTCATCAACTTAACCTATAGAGTCGTACTTTTTGTTGACTAAAAGCAGTAGTCTAAAATGAGAAAATAGAAGTGCTGTGTAATTTCGAAAGATTAGGTCGATATGGTGCCATAACTTGTTTATTTCATTTAGATGATGATTAAAAATATCATGCTAATTTGGTTTTTTTGATTTTATTAGGTCATAGTGAATTAACCTTGAATTCTGTCAGATATTGACAGAGAAGAAAAAAATTATTGATCTGAAGAATTATAAGCATAGTTTTATTGATGTACATACAACGATTAACCATCACAAGATGTGTAGCCTATTTTGGCCAATGGTCAATTCTTGTCTAGTTCTTACAGTAGCATTAAGTAAAGAAAAATAAACTAATGAGTGTTATACAGAATGTATCACTAAAGTTCTCATCTTCTCACTTCCATAATCTAAGGTTTGATTGATTTATAATTCTTGAGAAAATTTTGTTAAGTCAACAACAAAGACAAGTCGGTAGATTGAAATTAGTGACTTTTTTTTCTTATGAGTCTTAGTAATTCTGTTAGCATACAGTTAGATGAGCAGGCATATTACTTTTCATTGAAAATCTCTTGATGAATATACATGAATCCACACACTATAACAAATCACTAAGAATGTTAGTATTCATAATAATATTGGTGTTAGAAAAATACCCAAAAAAATTGAACTGTTTAGCAATTGCAAACACGGTAATCATCTGATCAAGCATAAACAAATTAATCCATACTCAATTAAACGTTAAAATACAATAACAGAATGAATTTTTGATCAGATATCACAGTAATCCTAGTTGACTCTTGGATTGTACTTGATATTTTGTAAATTTATCTAAACTAGCTAAATTTAGAATAATACTTTAATAAACTTTTCTAAATATTCTAGATGAAACCACAGTTAGAAATAACTGCTAATTTTAGGAATCATTATAAATCCTATAATTACATTTCATTTGACTACTCAATGAGGACGTAAAAACCTAAACATATCTGGGCAGCATCATTGATCATCAAGGTGGATACGATGCAGATTCGGAAGAGCGGATCGGAAAAGCAAGGGTGGCAGTTTTGCAAATGAAAAACATCTGGTACTCCAAACAACTATCAACCAACACCAAAATCAGAATTTTCAATACAAATGTCAAGAGAGTTCTATTGTAGGGGGCGGAAATTCGGAAAACTATCAAAGTCATCATCCACAAGATACAATTATTCATTAACAATTGTCTACGCAAAATACTTCGGATCCGTTGGCCACACATTACCAGCAACAACCTACTGTGGGAGAGAACAAACCAGATTCCAGCAGAGGAGGAAATCAGGAAGAAGCGCTGGAAGTGGATGAGACACACATTGTGAAAATCACCCAACTGCATCACAAGACAAGCCCCCACTTGAAGTCCTCAAGGCCAAAAAACTATCACCCCGAGAAACGGAGACAGACATGATAAGAATGACCAACAGTTGGACAGAAGTGAAAAGGGATGCTTCTACAGGGTAGGTTGGACAATGCTGGTCGGTGGCCTATGCTCCACTAGCTTTAACAGGCATAAATAAGCAAGTATTTGAAATTGTAATGTATATAAGTACAGAAAACAAGATGTTATTGAGTTAGTAGTGTATAAATATAGATTGCTGTAAAATAAAATTTTGTGCTATTCGTGTTTTTAAACATGATAATAGTGGTTATATTGTTGTTAGATTATCAGGTAACATGTCTTCGATGAGTTATGATACTTACGAGATCACAGTCTATCAATGCTGTAGGACGTTGATGGGATTCAGCATTAACGCATATGGGAGTAATCTAATTTTGCCAAGAAATTAAGAAGAAACGAGAGAAACAATCAACTGGTATAAATATTCCTTTAGTAATGATTGCGATGCTAGGGATAGCCGTGGATCTCAGTAGCATCTGCCGAAGTGATAAAAGCTCGGAAACTAAGTAATGATCGCGAACAGTGGTGGGTAGCGATATGGAAAAGGAAGAGATGATAGGTAACGGTAGACAGCGGTTATGCCTAATTAAGGAAACTGGTATTAGGAATCCAACTATCAGCAAAATTATCTCCAAAAAGGATGGTTGCATCATTCATTCTCAACTCAAGAGATTGGATCGATGGTCAGAACACTTTAGGGATCAGTTCAGTTGGTGTTCAGCCACATTTTGGTTACCTATGACCTCCAGCCAACCTGAATGGCAAGTTGATATATGTCCTTCGACTCTTTATGAAGTTGGGAAAGCTATAGGAAATCAAAAGCGAGTAAGAGTAGCAGGGCCTGACAAGATGACCCATGAAATTTTTAATGTCAAGTTAGAGCTTATGGCGAACTTTCATCGGAATTCTTTACTTCAAGTGGTGTCCATCAAGGATATCCACTTTTCCCATTCTTGGTCAACCTTGCAGTGGACACGTTTTCAGAGACAACATTATCTTCGTCTTACTTTTCATGGGTGGACCTGCTACCAGGAGACCTACTCGTTGAATTAGAATATGCCTGTGACATAATTCTAGTCGGTGAAGACGATGAGAAAAGGCAGAGTCTTCTGACTGCCCCAAGCAACAATGAAAGCATGTTCGGGATGCAGTTTTCCCCCTTGAAATGGAAAATGTTGCTTCATAATTGGCTTGCGTCGGCATCTGAACTAACGATAGGGAGTGAAGCCGTTGAGTGTGTTGACTGTTTCACTTATCTTGGGAGTCGCATAAGTGTTGATGGCCTGGTGTGCGACGAAATCTCAGTACGGATACAGAAGGCTCAATTGGCCTTTGCCAACTTGTCACGTATGGCGCAGGCGAGATATCCGTTTGCTTAGCAAAGGACGAGTGTACTGCGCTTCAGTTCACTCCATCCTACTATATTGCTGTGAAACATGGCTATCTTGCCACTATGACAGAATTACAAAAACATCAATCTTAATCTCATCCAAAGTGAACGTAGGACAGAAAGTGGTTATCATTTTAATGAGTAAGTAGAGTGCATATAAAGACCTGCTATACTAATTTTGCGTACATCTTAGACAATGCATAAGTGGTCAGTTTCTCAAATAGAAATATTGTGAATATTTATGCAAGGAGTGTATATGGAATTTAAGTGGGTCCTAAACTCAGTATATTCTGAAAACCAACAACTTTCATACGACTTATTAAATTTGCAAAGCTAATCGTTCTACTAAATGGTATAAAGTAGTATGACTTGTTTAGTGACAATATTCATATTTTGCTGGGTGATTATGTTGAGTTTAACTTAAAAATAACGCGAATACTGGTAAAAAGATTTTCACGATTGTTTGTATCAAGATAAATGTTTCTATTTACACATCACTTTACAACAGAAATATTTTCACGCTTTTCAGGCTTTTCCAAAATGTTTTGTCATTAACATATTGCTTAAATTTACTGCACAACTATCGGATTTACACATACAATCATTTGATCATAAAATCTAAGAAAACTATAAGAATTTCTGTTTATGACCCTGACATTCACATTTCTTTAAGTATAGTATTCCCCAAAGAAACGAAATGAACTGCACTTACAATATCAGCATGAAAATGAGATATAGAATTACGATGATATGTTCCATTGGGTTTTGATTTCACCTAAAATGTTAAGGAAAAAAAAACGTTGACAATATAATGTAAAATTCAAATGAGAAATAAAGTAAATCCCTAATTTTGAATGTCGTTATATGATCTTTAATTATTGGAAAATTTAGTTACTTTATCAACTGACAATAGTGCACATCATCATGATGATTGAGACTGCTATCACTAACAGTAGGAAAAATGTCCTGTTAATTTAGTGATTCTTAGCCAATTTTAGCTGATATCAGCCAACTTCTAGGCTCAAAATAAGATTATAGATTAGTGTGACGAATTAGAACTTGACGTTCAAGTGGAAATGTAAAGTAAGATCTGAAGTTAGGCTTTTCATCCCGAATTGTTGGCAACTACAATGTTAAACATTATTCATTTATATGGAAGATTGAATTTCGTGCCAAACTCCAAACAGCTATCATATCTGTCTGATTGATTGATTCATAAATTATAATTTTGCCCCTAGTTTAACTACAATCCGTCTTCCTTCTTTGCTTATTGGCCATCAGGTGCTGGTGTTTTATTTGCTAGTTGCAGTTATTGACTACCAGAGAAAACCGATCGTAGTAGACATTGTAGGTTCGTATTGAGCCAAAAAAATGGACGAAACAAGAGAGTAAAAAGTGGAAGTCTGCATTTTTTCGCTTATATTCTTGTATATCCTATGCTGATGTACAGTCAAATTTATGTACCAGCCCAAGCATTTATTTTCCTCATCTGTTCATATTTTAATTTTTTCAAATGTCTAATTATTCATTTGCAAATGCTTATATATTTATTGGTTAATTTTTATTCACTCATTTAATCTCTCTCACTGTGCGTTTGTTGATCGTATAATTTGAGTTGTTCGTTGGAATAGTATTCTCATTACTTCGTTTTGTTCTCGGTAAATTATACATACTTGGAAATTCTAGTAATAACTGTTGTTCAGTCGATTAACATGCAAAGTATGAGGATATTCACTGAGATTTCTTTGACCACATCACTCGGAGCAGCATCTCATTTAGACCTTTCAGTCTTTATGAAATCAGTTTCATTGATGCATCATTAACAAACTAGTCATATTAGATTACATGGGACTATTCGTAACCCTTCATTTCATCACATTACATTGCATGCAAGTGGACGAATGATATTTAATTATATAACCAAACTTGCTGATCATTAGGCTATTTAGTTCAATAAGTAGATATATTTATCGCAAGAAATTGATTGATGAATTCGAGTTTTCAACTAATGAGTTACATCGATGATCATTAAAATACTATAATACTATAATCATCTTATTTTGTACACTGATTAGTACCAGCAACCATACTCTTTGTTACATTAAAAATAGATTACTTCAAACCAACTACAATAGCTATTAATAAATGTTGGATATTTCCGAATTTCCAAGTATTCAAGTGAAATCAGAATCTTATCAAACACTAATAGCTAAAGCAATGTTATAGTGAATTGTATCTAGACAAAAGTACATTTGCTTGAATATTCAACTAATCAAACTGTTTTCATAGCTCAATCAGTATTAAGTTCTATCTGTGATAGGAAAAAGGTGGATTATAGTAGTTTGAAATGAAAGTTCATTATAATCTAAGTAAAATAAATATGTGTATAACTTTTGTAAAAACGCAATCGAATCAGTTTAGTTTGCTTCGAAGCATTATCGATCTAACCATGACTAGACGACATTTTATTGTTTACATGTATCAATCAAATTGAGAATTAAACTTCACTGGCTACAGATGCACTTCAGATTTTATTTATTGATAACTTATATAATGATAAAAGTTTTTTTGCTTAACTCCATGTTAAATCATTTTGACTCAAATGCCTAATGGCTTTTACTAATTAACCCGTAGCTAATGGATGATCTTAATTAGTAAAAGAGGAACATAGGAACAGAATTAGTTCATTTATCCACGACGAAGAAATAAATATGTGTTGCGCATAAAAAGCCATAAATGTAGGAGCCAAATGTGTAATTCTTCTTAATCGATATAATTTATTCTAGTATTGCTTTTCTAACAGTTATTTTAGTATCTGGAATTCTAGCATTACTTGAAAACATCTTAAAATCAAATATAAAACAACTTTCCGGCTTCTGGATATGATAACGATCTTATATATTAGAAAAAAATAGTATCCAGGAGTTCTTAATTTCCGTTTATTCCGTTGTTAATTTATTTCTAATTCAGATGACATGATCATGAAATGGAAATCTAACAATAATTTTTTTTCATTATTAATGGATAATTAATTATTGTAAATAGTTCTAAAGCCTTACTTGTGACTCAGATCGCTCCGTTGCCGGTTGATTCATATAAGTTTGATATAATGGATCAAAATGACTTTCAGTGATTGGCTCGCAAGTTTCCAGGAACTAGAAAACATGAACGATAGAAGAAAATAATACAATTTACCAACACATTTTAGAAATAATATATTCGTTATTTACTGCTAATCCGCATTAGTTTTCCGGAGGACTAATTCTACTAATCTACCGCTATTAGAGTTTGTTAATCGATTCTTGAATGTGTCATACGAATGTCGTTGAACAACTAACAAGGTATTTTGTCGTAAATACAAACTGCCTAAAACTGCTGACTCATTGGACTAAATAGGGTATAGTGTAGCGATGAGCATATTACTATTCATTATCTGGGTTAGGGATTGATGGTCAATATTTTTATTCCCGGTCAATGTTTCCTGTGTATTGACAAAACGGGTTTTTATCTTCGTTCAAGACTTGCCACCTGAGCCAAGGACGTAATGCTGAATTCAAAACCTAGATTTTCCAATGGTTCACTAAATCACATTACTTCTTGTTGAAAACTATGACCGATTTCTCACAAATGTATGTAAGCCAATTCTTTCGCAATTGTGTTCAAATATAATTGACCAGTAATTTCTGACTAGTAGATTTTTAAGATTTTTTATCCATCTTTATAAAATATGACAGTGAAAATCTACAACTTTAAAAGTTGATTAAGTTGCTTCATAAGAATAAGTTACCATACAATGAATAGATATATATTGTAGTTTTTGTGGAGATTAGAACTAAATTATAACCTTACGAAATGTAACTGCCAAGTACATTAACTTATTTCATAATGTGCTCTATTTTGTTGATGAAAGTTTACCGTAAATTTATGGTGTCTCTTGCCTTGAAATATACGCAACTCACGGTCGTCAACAAGACATATATATTATCTCAAAGAGGAAAATCAGTTTCTCTGTGAATCAAGTTATTTGGTTACCTAGACAACGATGACAAAAGTAAACAAGTTTTGAGCTACATAACGTTTAACCCAAATAATATGACAGTTTCCTTCATTGGGACTGGTATTAACGATTATGTAGAAGAAAAGATAGTTCAGTATTGACTGAGTCAAAATGTCTGCGTCCACAATATCCTGCGTCTCTGTTCTTTGACATTTAATATCAATGATATAAGTATGATATCAATTATATCAATGATATAAGTTTTGATAAAATCTATTTCTTCAGGCTAGGTAATCACAACAATACAAAATAAATCACCACATGTAGGAAAGATGATTGTAGATAACTTCAGGTTTTGTACTCAAAAGCACACAAAAAACTAGTGATTATTAACAAGATATGACATAACATTACAGTATATTATTTAAATGAAATAAAGTTTTTCCTACTAGGAAGCTGAGGCAATAGAAATCAACATTTTAGTCATTATTCAGTGAAGTAGGAATTTTTCTACTTCCAGTTTTCATTCACCCTGTTACATGATCAGACTATTTTCATCAGACAATCTATTCTATTGTTGAAGTGATCTGTGTAAACCACATAAACGAACTTTTATCAAAAATTAATTTTCTCTAATAATGTATGTACAAACCGTGGTATTCTTCATACATGCTAGTTTTTTAAAAGTCAAAGATCAGGTTTCGTCACATATAAAGTTCTGGGGATAACAATCGATCAGTAAATTATTAGTAGCAATCAATCCCGATTATTGCATTATATTATTTTGGGCATATACATTTTTATTCTATACGAGTGAACTGTTTGTGTTTTGTATATCTTATTAGCTAAGTTCTTTAAAGTGTATACTTAATTCGTTTATGTATTAAACATCAAACACATAAATGCATGTACAATTAAGAAAGATTTGATTAGAATCGAAATAGTAAAGCTTTACATTTATGACATAATAGTTAGTTACATGTATCCACAATTAAAATAAAACAGTCATTTTTTCAAAATGTTGAATTGAACTTACCATTCTTACTTCATCTTCTTGCTGATCACTTGATGAAGGGGATTCTACACATATGGATTCAACAGGAACATCTTCCAATTTATTTGGAGTGCTACTTCTTACATTGTTAGCGTTGAAATTATTATTTATGATTGTAGCTTTACCATACATGTCATTCACTGAGCTTGGATTTACTTTTTTCTGATGTTCACTATCTGCTTCTGTCTTTGTATCGTGAGTAATTAAATAATGTTTTGAATGACCGTTATGTTTGACCTCATTCTTCGACAATTAAATAGAGTGTAGAAGAAGCACTGATTAATGAAATAAGTTTTATTTGAAACTATGTAATTATTTTTTATTCTCTATCTATGTACTAATATTATTATTTTTAATTGCCTATATAATGTAACCACATGATATGAGTGCCATTACACTCAATTCACTTCAATCCGTTGACACCCCACAATTGTAATTCTCTTACAATATCTACCATTAATAAACGAACCGTATTTTTCACAGTATACTATAATGTCTTTAGGTAAATCAAGAAGGTATACGTTAGACAGCTATGACTGAAGATGTCGAGAAACAGTTTATAATCTTATTATCAAAAAAAAAATACTTTTTAGACAACTGACTGGCTCATTTGTATCGATGAACTGCACGTATACCTTCTACAATCTGTAAAAATTTGGAAATATCTAACTATAACACTGATCAATACTAGGTGTCGTTTATAATTTGATAATTGACACAAAATAGTTTCAAACAATGAATCATATTGATGATATTGCTCCAAAAAGGACAACATAATTCGATATGAAAACACGGGACTCAAGAAATCAACTAACAGAAAGACAGACAAAATTAGCCGACGCGTTACATTAATGGAGCAGTAACAGAAGTATGTTATCCCACTTCATTAATATATCTAAAGAATGATATCAGCTGCTAAGTTCATCACTTTATATTTATTTGCAATCAAATAAAGAGCATTTACAACAAACTGAAAATTTGACACATATTTCTGATCACCGTCTAAGGCAAAATAGCATGATGTTACTTCATGTGATAAAACATGCAGCTTACAAAACACACCAATATCAAAGTGAACAGATAGATTTTAGAAGTCAGATTTCGTAATATATAGATATAAGCCAGCTTCATGGTGATTTGATTTTCAAGTTATTAGGATTGTCAGTAAATTTCTCCTGATCTCTGTATTCAATTCATGAACAATTTTTGAGTTTAATTACAAACTTTTTATAACATCATTGGATTATACATTTGAAATCATCAATCAGTAATTGTTGAAAATTATTGGATTACATAAAAAGAACTACAAAAGTTTGTTCAAACTATAGGTTTCAAATTGTAAACTTATTATAACCATGCTTTTACGTTATTAAAGTTTTAACAATACCTACCGAACCAGGCCATTTCGGTGATTCGTATACGTATTCGTCTGAAGCAGCAAATAATGGAGTCCAATCGTCCTAGTGAAATGGTTTTGAAAAAAAATTATATAACTCGAATAAGTGATTAATTCACTTTGATTAAGAGTTACTTCATTTAACAGTTGCATAAAAACTACATCATTAAGGTTTTTACGATTTATCGAATTCTAGCTCAAAGGAGTCACAGTAAATCTTTAGATAAATTTGACCAGATCAACACTTCGAAAATTTGCAATGCAATTGTATTCTAACTTGGAAATTTGCTAATTAAAGGATTACTACTGTGCACTGAAGAAGAATTGTGAATATATACGTCCAGTTTCAAATCAAAGTAAAGCAGTAAATTGTTTAGTCACCTTCAATATCACCACTTGAACATTGAATATTCTATCCGAAATTATTTGAATTAATCAACCCCATCTGATAAACTAGTGTTCGGCAGTAAACTCAACGAAATAGATAATATCACTATACTCAGGACAAGTCATCATCGAGACCGATAATTTTTTCACGTAGAAAAGGAAAGGTAATGATTTAAGTTTACATTGTTGCAAATTGTAAACTGACTAATTCATTCTTTAAATTTAAGTGACATCAAATGTCCAGTTGATCGTGTTCCAGTGTTTTTAAGAGAGAAGAACCTTCAAATTGTATTTAATGGATCAATAACTGGTCTTTTGAAACGAAATATAAGAGGTTTCAAATCAGTTTGACATTACAGAGATTACATGGTATTATTAGCATCGTTTCATTCCCATACTAGAATTTGGGATTTACTATCGTGATACTAAACACTTTTTGAGGAATTATAAATAAATGTAACAAATATACTAAGCAACACTTTCAAACTCTTAAACATTATTCACTAAATGCCGGGTTCATTATCAAGATTTCGGTACCTACTTCCGGTGGATATTTAAACGGTAAGTCACCATAGTTTAATTCCAATGTAGTATCGACCAAAGAAGCTGCAGGATAGATTGGTGCGTTGCTTTTTAATAATTTTTTGTCAATTTCATAAGCTGGACCAAATAGGCGATTATTTTTTGACCATTGTATTATTCCATTGCCCAAATCCAGGAAACAACCGATTACGTCATCTTTACGGAAAGCCTAATAAGAAAACGATACAAATACATAGCCGGTGTGAAATTAGAAAATAAAAGAAATCAAGCAAAATTGAATAAACTTCCGGAAAGAAAACTTTATTTGGCATACGAAGGCGAAGTAACACACTAATACTCAATATCATCCATAAGCACCTATCTCAACACATACTTTCGATCCCCTTTAAAGTTTAAATAAATACAAATAGTAAATTTTAATAAATTCATACCTATTCGGCATTTGATTTCTTACAGATTGAGATCTTTGAAAGTATTAGTAAACCTAGAGGAATTTTTACTTAGTCGTTTCTTGATTTTCAAACTGCCTTATTCGGAAAAAGTGCTTCAAAACTGATCGAGATCGATCACTTGATTCATAGAGGTGGAGACAAGATACTGATTACTTTTGGTCACAGACTTTACTATGATTTAATTTACATTAGATATGTTGATATAAAAAGACACTTTATGCTTCATTCATAAATCCTTGTCTTTGGTCAAAAAAAATTAGCACAAACAGAAGTATGATTTAAAAGACGTGCTATGCTCTGTGCCTATACTGGCTAACTTGAAGCACCTCACATATATCTTGTACTTTTATCATTGTTGAGCTTGTATGCGCATGTACGCTTGGGTATTACTTGCCACCTACACATATAGTTATTTGACTAGCTGTATCCATTAACTGAATTTCTTGATAAATAGTTTATTACATTAAAAGATCATTTCAACAAATGAAGTTCTCTGGTCAAATAAATTCATAAAGCTACTATATCAAGTGATAAAAAGATGATAGTCTTATTAGTAATCAAACCAACTAACCTTTAAATTTGAATTCAATATAAAATACAGATAACTAAAAACCCTCCTTATTAATTGGACTTTTTATATTTGCCTAATTATATCAAAAATTAGCTTACACTTTAAGAATAATCAGTAATATTCCTGCGGCTAATATGTTACTAGTCTGTTTCTACTTTGTTATCTGGTAATGTGCATTTTTATTAGTATATTCCGTCAGTTCACATCATGGATTGATTTCAGTTAGACAACCATTGAGAATCATGGATAAGAGTGCAGCTCTTTCGTCCTAGTACAGGATTGCTCAGTGGTGCGCTTTCACAACTTTATTAAGGATAGATCCTAAGACCTTCGATTTCGATGTGTATACTTAACCTTAAAACCACTGAGCAGTAGTCTCACTTCAAAATCCATTCAGCTTGTGATAGTGAAAAACCATCCCCACAGTACCGGGAATATATAACCGTCTCACGATCGACACGACACACCACTTGACACTGACTCGTTGGTCTAGAGGTCGATCCGATGCAGCAGGATCAAAGGTGTTTGACCGATCCCCGGTGGAGTCATGGATGCAGATCGATGAAAAGCTTATATTTGGACAAGCAGGCTGACCAACGTTTCTTTGTTTTCTATAGTTATCTAGCTAAAAAAATTTAAAAACCTCCATTAACCCCCCAAAACTATTTTTAAACCAACTTAAGTGACTAATTGTTTTGTCTGGTTTATTAAAAATAAAGCAAATAATCGAAAAAATATTGAAATGACAAGTTAAAACTAGAAATGGATAACATAGTTGTAAACACAACATGTGTACATATATTTGTTTTAATACTTGAAAAAAATTACTACTTATAAGTTGACTGACACCAATGTGTTTTCTAAACCTTACAGACTAATATTTTGATGTGATTGTTTACTTAATTCACGTAAATTGAAACAAAACAATCACAGTAAATTTTAACAAGTTATAAATATTGATAGAATAGGTCTATAAACTTCGTGTAGTCTGTCGTGTAATTTTACTAGTTAGATCTCATATAAGCTGTTGAATGTTATGTGGTAAAAGAATTAGATATACAATTAAAAACGATTAGTCAAATGTTCGGTTCGTGATTTCAATGAAACTTAAGAGTCTCCACAACTCTTAATTGACGATCTTCATTTCAAAAATAACAAAATTTATGTAAGAGTTGCTTCAGATAAATATGTGATCAGGTCATTGAGAAATTCGTAAGAAATTTCGATTTCATTCAATACAAATAAAGGATATTGAGGAAATTAAATCTGTGACATTCGAATCGACAACTATACTTAGGATAGTTTAATTTTCAACTACATATGACCTGATTGATTAATTGGCAGCCATGTTTACACTGACCCTAAACAGGTTTCATTTTCGAACATAAATACAGTTAGCCTAGAATTCAGTGATAACTTAATACACGTTTTTCTAATGCAATGTGTATCGTTTGTTTCATCATCTGAGGTGAATGAATGACTCATTATTAAATTATGATATATGATACTTGTTTTGTTTATGGACTAGACAAAGACATAAATGAATTATTTTAAATAGATTTTAAGTGTTTAAATAAAAACGAACAAACTAGATTTAAGACGATAGGTGAGTGCATGAATTTTGTTGCAAGTAATCCGCTAAAATTTAAAATTGTGCTTTCCTATTTTGAAATGATTTTATTCAACGAATAATGTAAGTTCGATTAGTTTTGATTTAGTAATATAGTAGCAATATAGTCAACGTCTAACAACTTCAAAATATAAAATGTAAGTTGATGTATATAAATTAGCTATAAGTGAATACTAATTTCAAATTTATTGTTATCTTCTTAATGAATCTTAAAAAAGTTTGTGAATATGCGACCATATCATCGGATTTCTGTTCAGCACAATTCAAAAAGAAATGAAATTAACTAGTTACTACTATTTTCTTTTGCTAAACTATAGAGATTTTTGAAAATATTCAGACAACTTCAATGTGTTTATGCTTAATAAATATTAAAAATCAATTTAAACAATATTAATGATAATCAATCAGTCAATGAAATAAATTCTTACATCACCATAATTTTCAATGATATCTCCATGCAATTTTTTCCCTTGTATTCCATTTATGCCAAAACCATCTCGATCAGCTCCATATCCGAAACCAAAACAGTCCACACCAAGATCTAATGATCCATTTTCAAATGACCAACCAACACGTGCTAATCCTGAGTCTTCAACAATTCTCACTTCATAGTAATAAGCTCTGTCACCAAATATTCCCTATTAATTATTATGAGTAAAACTCCTGAATTAAAAAAATATTTATGACGTTTTTGTTGTTTTAGAGATTTAGTAGCTAAGGGGATGCTGAATATGTGTACAATTTATGTCTCATTTAAAATACGTTTTACAATAATCACCAGTGAACTGTTACTACTTGTTTTAAATTGTTAGGCTTTAGTGAAGACGAAATGTTGGCAAACTTGAAAAATCTATTTTCTCACAACTATGAAAATATTTGCTGGTTATTGGTGAGTTATAATGACATCAGTCAACAGACTGAGGAAACATGAGTAAGCCAATGCTAGGTATTTAAATAGAAAAATAAAAATATGATCCTCTTGTTTTACTTCAAAGTCTGACATATGTACTGTTATGTACTAAGCCAACTTATCAACTAGACTACAAAAATGGAGTCATTTTTTGTGTCATAAATTCATATGCTACTAACCGTGTGTATATATTTCATTTGAATGATGGTTGAAAACTTTCAGAAAAAACACAGTGAGGAGACATTCAAGAATGTGGGTGCAAACTGCATTTATAAGATTGTGGGTATATTTGTAGGGAAATCCAGATCGTTTCACAGTACTCCGTCTACTCGTTGGTAAAGTAGAATTGCTGTGAGGTAGAAGTTCATTCAAACTAAGGAAGATAGATAATGTATCTTTCAACCTTATCGGTTGTTAAACTGTGTCGAATCCATAGAAGAATTATTTTTAGAAAGATTCATTGCTAAATGTGAACGTGCGGGGCTTCACGTTTCAAACAGCTGTAAAGGCAGATATTTGGTTTGATTTTTTTACCAGTGACAGTTAAACTTCAACATGATAGATTTTAAATGAAAGAAATGGTTTTACAAACTTAAGGTTACTATAACTAGAGTTGTGATTGGATAAAAAGTTAGAATCAAAAATATGTTTACTTTGTTCACTCTAAAGCCTTGCCAACCAGTATTTTCTACAGCTTGTACGAATCGACCATTAGGGGAAACTAATAAATTTGTACTTGATGTTACATCATTTGGATTTACACGCCAACCAACATTCCGATTACATACAACTGAGGAACTGGGTGCGTATGATACTGCTATCCAATGTTTACTAGTCGAAGGAGTGGTCTTGGGTGGGAAGTTGAATGGCTTGTCACCAAAGTTTAATTCAACTCTAGCATTTTTAAGTGATACGGCTGTAAAAGACACATTCAACAAACAACAAAATAATTGTTAAAATTGTTGATGAATAATCAGACGTTAGAAGTATCATAATCCATTTAAAAGCTGCCCAATAATATCCTTATATTTGTCCACTGTTTAACTGACTGTAAATATAAGTTAAGAACCTGAAAACATATTTGTGCTAAAGCAATGAGTTAATGACATTAAAGTTACTCTAGTGGTCAGTCTGAGGTACACAAAGAAAGAACTCCTCAATCAGTTACTAGTTTTTGAACACTCAGATAACTAAGCTATATATGCCCATTCAAATGTGTACTGATGCCTAATTAATCATTACTGAGCATAATGTTTAAACGATTTTTTAGATGTTATGTTATTAGATCTTTCCACCTTGACTATTTATAAAAACAATAACTACTATGAGTATGATCAACATTTGTATTTATCAACATTACAAGTTTAGTTTTTATAAAATTCAGAAAAAAAAATTTATCAAAAGGTACAGTGAGTAGCTTACCAGGGAAAAGTGCAGTATCTGGTGTTAATGATTCATCAAGTTTAAAATTAGGAGCTTCTAATATCTGGCCATTATAGCTATAATGTACATCGATTTTTCGATTATTTTTATTATCGATCGGACCTAATTCTAAATAACATCCAACTACATCGCCTGGTACAATCGGCATTCCATAATCCACTGAATTATTTGCATAGATAAACTTGCCTACAGGGTTAGGTTGATCAGCTGATCCTATACCTTTACATAAAAAAAGGATAAATCATCAAGACATATGATTTTTTTGAAATAAAAACGAAAACAAACTTTTCCTTTGATAGTACTCAGTATGCATAATTGATTCTTCTTTAAAGTACAATGCTTAGGCTAAATCAAAACAGCATTTATTTAGGTTGTTAGAGATAGTGGAGAATATTTTATGTATTATGCCTACCTGTTACAAACAGTAATCTATTACTTTGATTGAAAAATTTTAAATCTTCTCGTTATTTATTGTAATGATTGGATTTTGATGCATCAGAATTACCTTACTTAAGAATAGGTAGTGGCTAGTAGTGAATCAAACAATGCGCTTCCCATTACAATTGCGACATATTAGCTGGGTGTATGGACATTCATGTTGGTGTCCAGTGAGCTACTCGAATCCACTACTTTTCGCTTCAAACTCCCAAGACGTTACCCACTGAACCATTTGTAAATTTATGACACTTACGAGGCAGTTTTATTCAGGATGTATATATGGTATAAAAAGACTGCTCAGTTGCAGTCCTATATCATAAAACGTTTCGAAGTTGAACAAGTTAGTATATCTGAAAATTCTTTAACTCATTGAATAAACTTCTTCTTATGTAAGAAACAAGATTGAATTCAGATTTTTTTCTCGAAAGTTAGGAACAGGCAGAACTTACTGAAGATTTGTATTCACAAAATGATGTGAAACCTATTAGCATGTGTTTAGTCAATTTATTTAATCAGCTTACTATTAACATTAAAATTCATTTCAAATTGAATCGGACAATTTACTTATCAAAAGTTCTGTAGAAGTCACAATTTATTACGACCAACTTAAGTGGGAAATTAATTCAATCTTCAAATTTTACTTCGTACATTATTGGATGAAAAATCTTTAGAATATAATTAACTAATGCGAAATAATATTCAATAATACTATTATAAATCAATAATATTTAAACACAGAATTCATTCAAAACATCTAATACTATGTAACCAGCCTCAATTATTAGGTTTGTAGATAATCACAGATTTATTACAAGGTTATATTTTGAAAACTAATCACCATAGAAATGAATGTTTCTTGGAAAGTTTTCATTTTTATGACACCAATCAATCAAATATTTCTAATGTTATAGATGCTGAAAAAATTGGAAAATTTTCTAAGGTAATAATGAATGTATTTTTTATTAAACACACCTGTTCTATCGGCTCCATAACCAAAACCTTTGGAATCTGTTCCAAGCACTAGGCTGGCATCATTTGTTGACCAACCCAAACGTACTTGACCTTCTTCAAGCATACACGCTTCGTAGTAATAAGCGCCTGGGCCTTTCAAACCCCAATTTGTACGACATCCCTAAATGTAGATAGATAATAAGAAAAAAATAGAACATAATTCATTTTAATGAAAGTAGGTCAAATATAAACCTGGCTATTTATTACAATTATGCCAACCCTTTAAATATGTGTATAATTTATTCAGGAAGCATTGAATTTTTAATGGGCTCACTGACAATAAAGATTCTCAACCAACAGAATATACTCAACATTTTTTAGCATGATTTTATTGTTCTATAGTGTTAAATTGTTTTCATTCCTATGAAACCTTACTATTCTTGTAACTTATTCATTGAAAAAAATTATAACTTTCAGTAGCCAATAGTTGAATAACATTTAAAACATTCTTTCAATGAATTTTATATCTTTAATATTTAGGTGAAATATGAAATGATGATAGTTGCTTAAAATATTTAAACATGCAATGAATAATCAAACATTTTAAAGAAAAATTTTTCTGCGAAAATTCTGTAACACGCAGATCATGGGAATGCATTTAAGTAGAATTCAGTAACAAACAAAATTACTTATTCTGAGGATTTCAGAATACATTTAATGGGATTAGTTAACTTGCTAACTTTATGAATGATGCTGATATCAACGGTGACGTGATCAAGTGAAGAAAGGTTAAACTTAACGAATGAGATCAAGAAATAAAATGTGTACGGTAAAGAAAACTAATTAATAACTCTTCCCTAGTGAGATACGTTTTGAAGTAATTTACTGAACTGAAACTTCACTCTCCTAGCTGTAAGCCTTTCTAAAATTTATTCCTAATCTAATCACTTTAGCACTTCAAGGTAGATAACGATCAGTCATAAGAAGCTGATTCCTAGACTACCTCATAAACAGACTGACTGCGTATCGACGGAATTATGCACCTACAAATAACACTGATCGTTCAATGGTTCTAACAAATAAGAGTAATGTTTTAGATATGCCTATAACGAATTTCTTGAGACCTTTACATAGCATTTCGGTTCAAGGGATAGATTTAACGTTTTTGATAAAATACAGAGAAAACCCTTGGGAATTATACTTGGTGTTTGATCAGTAGATAAATATTTTAAATGCATTGCAGTTGATATATAAGGGGAAAGGGCAAACAAGTTCCTTAAGAGATTTATCAGGAATTTCAACCACATCATTTCGCAATATAAAACCAGATACAGATTAATTTTTAAGCGTTCTTCTATGTTTGGAGAGTAAAACACATTATTCAAATATTTGTTTACTGTTACTTATAGTGTTCGGAAGACTTTGTATTGTGATAGCATCTTTTGCAGAACAAATTATGCTTACTCCGTGTCAGCCTCGGAGCATATCTGTGATGAGATTCAATGGAGATTGGGATGGTTGATAACTTCGATGGACATCACTTGACACAGTCAATTCAGATAACAGTTTTGTGTAAACCCCAAATCAATTATTTGTATTTGAGTAAAGAGTTGTCTGTGAAATGACAGACTTCTCGATGGATAGGATACAATAATGCCTTAATGTTAAGGAAATCGTTACATAAGCCCTTGTTTCAGAACCAACGGAAAAATGTAAAATGACCCTATGTTTCGTAAATTTATCTCCTTTAGGTTTCGATCACAAGGCGATTAGTTGTGACAGCTAAGATTTTAGAAATTGTACCATTCAAGCTGGTCCTTCTAAAACAGTCAAGAGGTGGTTTCAGACATTTATTAAGCGATAATTATCTGGTCAATATGGAGATCAGTGAATAAAATTATGCTTGGCTGTCAAATAAATGAAAAACCCATTCAATTCAGTTCTTATTTTTAGAATATAATTATTAGAAACCAATAAAGCTAAATCTTTTGGGCTCCTAGATTTTGATAACCTTCAATCAACAATTTGTTTTTATATAATTTGGTAGGAGCGCGGGGATTCAATTTCAACTCTGATTCCGGACATCCATGATTATAAGTGACAACGAATTAACTGATGACCGGCTAAACTATTTCTCGAGTCTTTCTATCCATCGCTTTAATCTCTTGGTCCGGTAAAAGCATCACAAATCCACCATTTTCATCCACGTTTCACTGATTTTTTTTTACCTTAACACCTAGTCAGTTGGCCAGCATCGAAGTATTTTTGACTGTTTCAGTCTTATATTGTGCACTCTACAGCTCAGTTCCTTGTATTCCTTAACAGAGCACGCTGAAACGAGTTTTAGAGCTCGAAAAATAAATTACAAAATGACTTACCTGCCAATCCGTTTCTGGCATTGCTGCTATATCTGTTCCATCAATATTTCTTCCTAACCCTTGTGTGCAATCAGCTGCTGACATTTGCCAATGATCTTCTGGTAAAGGTACTCGAATCGGACCTGGTTTACGATAAGCTGGTGGTAAGTTTTGTAAAACATCAATATTCACTGAATTAGCTGGTAACGGAGAGGGTGTTCCTGGCATTAAATAGTACTGATCAGGTTCTTCTCCGTAAGCAACTGGTGCGACACTAGTAGACACTAAGAATAAAGTAAAAGGGGATCTAAAATATCCTTTTTCTTCATCGATTATCGAAAAATGAAAAACAAGAGTGGTTACTTCTTCCTTTAGAAAAATTCGGCAGAAACTAATGGGTGTATTAACGTTATGATTGTCTAAACCCATAATTATTTATACAAAGACGCATTTGAATATTTATGCGTCATAAAAATAACTGAATTCGTGTCTGGGCTGAGAAATTTCCTCGGTGCCTCAACTGAAGCACTAAAACTACAAGTAACTGAACCTGAAGATAAATTTACTTAATACATACCAGTGTGTGTACTTACAAAATCGCAAGGCACACAGACTGAGTAAACATGCTTGTTTCAAGAAGATAGCTACCATAAATCTGTTCTTCGCTAACCCGCTCATAAAATAAGAATCATTATAATCATTATTATTATAATTTTGTCCAAACGAAACATACGTGCACAAATTGTAACCTGGCATATGGGTTGTTCGTGTTTTCACTAATGATCTTGTTATTATGAATTCGAAATGGTAGCAGATCTCAAATTGTTAGCCTTTAGTTCAGTATAGACAAATATCAAAAACTTGTTTATTAAAAAAAACAGTTACCTCTCAGTTGAGGTTGCCAATCTTTACAGCAGTACAAAAAGAAGAAAAGAACACGATGAGGTAAGTAAGAAGCAAACAAATAGAAGCTCCCACCACAGCGTGACCGGGGATTACATATGTACCTCCGAGGAGGCAGAAATCTCCACTCACACCTGTCAAGATTTACAGAGTTGTTTGTTAGTTGGATTACATTTTTATGAAAGCTGGCAGAGACTTTTGAAAAAAGGACATCAGACGTTAAAAAAATTTTTCTGAGATCGGAAATTAGATACTCACCAATGACAGAGACCAATAAATAACGTTTTCGCCTAGCCTAATGAGAGAGGTAGGTCTTTGTCTAGGAGAATTTTTAATATATATAAACAAGTGAATAATATTGTTAACTTAATGTTAACTGCTTACAGAGTTGACTAATAGTTTGACAAAACATATTTCATTTAATAATAAATGTTGAATAGGTTTTTAGTCATTTAACATTCCATTCACCTTAAGCTGAATTTTATCATCAAAATATATCATCTGATAAACTAGAAAGAATTAGACAGCTGTTTAATATGGATTCTCTTGCATAGTTCACTCTAAATATCTACCCCAGGGATCTAGACTGAAGCCCACTGTACTAGTAAACTACTGAGCTGAGATACAATAAGCCATATTTGTAACGTCAGCCAGTTGACGATGTTAAGCAACCATTATTCAATGTTGCAGTGGTATATCTTATTCCTGACATAGTCGAGTTTCTCCAGTCATGTTTTCTTACAAAATCTTTGAGACCTTTTCTGAAAGCTAGCCACTAGCGAGCATAAAATTAATGTTAACGTTATTGATTTTGACCGATTATTCTATGTGAGATCAAAATAACTATATGGAAACAGACTTAAAGTTTAATAGCTTTCACATATCCATACAGTGGAAATGTCATTAGGAATCTTGTTAAAAGTTTACATAAATGAATGTGTAACAGTGTTAGTGTTTAGCAACAAAAAAAGAAATTTCATACCAAAATATGAATGTTAGTTAGGTATGTCGTGAGTAATTTTCTTCATTTCAATTCATAATTTACAACGATTGAATTAATTAAAACAATAACACACAAATACTGTAAGCATGGTGAACACAAACTATTAAATCAAAACTAAAATAGTAGCTGGGATTGTTAAAACTATTAACCACAAATTAACTGTTAATAGAATTACTTATTCTTTGTAAGTCTACGACAAATACATTCTAACTTGACCTACCTTGATGTTGTTGATTTGATGGACTAGCTGGAGGTGATTTAGCTTTCGGATGAAATAACAAAATTTATCTCTATAGTATGATGAATTATGTATAAGTTCATCATACATTATTAACTATATATATATACAGACTATAGACACTGAAATTAATGAAAAAACTTTATCTAGTTCCTTGCACTTTCCAATGAATCTTCTCAATATGAATTCATTTATGAAATTTAGTTATAAATAAATATTGTCTTATTGAATTGATTAGTAAAGTAGAAAAGGATATATATTTTGTTTGGTATCTATCAAATGAACATTAGTTGTTTTGTTTATGCTATTGGTTAAAGTTTTCCACTATTTGGTTTAATATTCGTTTTTCTGGTTATTGTAATTAGTCTGCCAGCTAACGATTTTGATAATTCCTCTGATGAAAACATCATATTTAGAGCGTACTTCGTTAACATATTCTGCATCGAGAAATCACTTTTATGAGACGTTCACACCTAATAAAAAGAATGGTTAGCTTATAGTTATTTGTTTTGTGATATTCGTAACCCGTTTGTTTTAGTATCAATTACATTTGATGGCATAATATAGCTTAAAATAGTTATAACTGTGAGTGAAAACGCTATTTTCTCTGTGTACTATAAGCAATAAGGAAGAGATATAATGACTTGGGTGGACCATCATAGTAGAACAATAAACAGTTTTAAAAGTCACTGAATAAATTAAGTCGTTAGTAAATAAATATTCCTGATACAGTCAACGGATTGAACAAAAAGCGCTTATAAAATATCTTACTTACTATACTGGACTGGCTTTCTTTGAGTTTGTACGCGTTTAATTGGAGGTTGTTGTCTTGGAACCCATTCTGAACTAGGTTCTCTTGAATATGCGTCGAACGATTTACTTGTTAAGTGGTATTTTCGCATACTAAAAGCAGTTGTAAGATTCGATCTTTGAGGTCCTGATGTATCACGTAAACTGGTAATCCATAATAAAACGATTTAGTGGGCATTTAAAAAGTGAACATTGCTATATATTTAAAGTAGAACATCACACTAAAAAGATTACTTACAAATATTTCTGTTTGGAATTTGCAGAAAAAACTAATAATAAGTTCAATCGTTCAGACTTACAGATATAATTTTCATCGTTAATGTCTTAAAATGATTTGGTACGCTACTACTATGAAACTAATCGTTCATACTTAGACGGCAGTTCTTATAAACTAATAATTCATTGTTTATTAATCATTTAGTAAATGATCATTTTATTTCCCACAGCAAAAAGAAGCCTACATTAAAAAATTTTTAAGGATCAGTAACAAAGTGGTTAGTACTCTCCGTTCTTATCCATTTTTGAAGTTGCTACATGTTAACCGATTGAATCTACTGGAAACTTTTATTGAACATCATGATAATTCAGATTGGACAGTCTTCTTAGTTTACAATGAATTCTAGCAGAGATGAAATTTATCGGCAACTAGAGAGATCTACATACAATAAGGTTTTACACTATATATGATAAAGTCAGAAGCTGACATAATGCTTCAATCTACCAATAAAAAATTAAGTTGTTTTACCAAAGTATTACAGACATTTATATTGTTAATTAACGTATATTAAAAGATGATTGACATCTCATATCTATGTATATCAAATAGCATTGGCACTTTTGAAGAAAATATTTATGATATCCAACACTTAATTTAAATAAAAATCATTTAGTAGCTTATGTAAAGACGTTTTTGATTGCATTTCCATGATGGAATATATGAATTTAAATGAGGAACAGATGATATCTCTAGATGTTACTTCCTTATTTGCCAATATATCATTAATTGAGACAGTCAGCCTTTTGTGCCAACAACTCTTAGGAAGACAAATCAGTATTGGAATCTCCAAGGTTAGTCTCAAATAATTACTTTTGAAATGCACTATGAACTTTTATTTGAACACATATTTTAGACAGATTGAAGGAATAGCGACAGGTTCACTTCTACGACTAATCGCTACTGATATAATTCTTGCTAAACTAGAAAATTGAGTTCTTAAGGAGGTTATTCATAAGCTCGACTTTTATTGCCTTTACATTGATGATGCTTTCCTTACCGCGGATCAGAACACTACTAAAGAAGGACTTTAGGGACAGTTCAACAATATTCACTTAGCAATTAGGTTTACTTCTCAGGAGAAACTTGGTGACAAATTACATTTTCTTGTAGTTCTCTTGAACAGAAAAGAAAATGATTCCATCATTAGAAGTGTGTATGGAGAAAGTTCCTCGTCAACACAGTACACACATTTCATGAGCTTTGGACCCATTCAACACAAGAGAAGCCTTGTTAGATGCCTTGCAAGGTTTGCTTAATGGACACAATCAACAAAGAGCTGGAGATGGTTTATAGCCTGTTGGTTGAAATTGGTTAGCCACAAGATTCTCTGTAGAAACATTTACATACAATAAACTGAAAAATGGAGATACCTACAGTGAATAAGAAACCTCTCTAACTGAAACCACTGTTCAGTGGAGGTCTGGCTAGCGACCTACTACGAGATAGATAGACTGAAGCAACAATGAGGATGTTTAATGCAACTGACAACTGTCTGTTGTTTTCTGGTTGACCTACGGTGATTCCAAAACTAAAAGGATAAGATACCCGGTTTCGCCTTGTCTACAAATTCGGCTACGTTTGTGGAGGAAGCTATGTTTGCCATACAATCAGACAACTGAGCGAATGAGCCAGCAAACACCCCATCTTGTGGTTAGGATAGGGCATAAACGAAACAACACGCAGCTCAGTTCGATCACACTTGATCGACATTGGTCGTATAGTAGATAGAAATATAGCATTTAAGACAATTTACCCTATAATTACTGGCATTCCTTATTGGGTTCGTCCTCTTCTCTTACACATAGGAGCTATAGGGGTTCGAGCTAACAATCCAAGTCTTTGAGTGTACAAGAAATTTGTAAGGACTATATCTCTTACTTGGAGTACTTGGTCTTAACAAAAGATTTTATCTATTTACATACAATGATTAATTTCAAAACTCACTTTTCATATTTTTCTCTTCAACTAAACGCCTCAGTACCTAATAACCTGAACACTTCGTATTACGTAATCCATAATTCTAATGAATGTTACTCCAGAGTCTGGTTTCTAAGCTGAAGGAACTATTACCTCTTATGAAACATTGATTTAAGTCCTTATTATTCTTTTACATATTCAAATCATCAACCGATCATCGTTAGACCACCATTAGAAACCTGGAAGCACTGAAAGGCCGTCACGTCCTTGCATGAGACTCATCAGCAGCGCGCATCTACGGCTCCTGAACCTCTCACGATTCGAACCCTGGGACTTCGGCCTTGCTCTGAACCAGTGGGTTGACATATAACAATGCAAATGTCTCTCTAAATTGATCACAGTTAGACATTAACGCTGTCAGATGCCGGCTCAGTGGTCCGGAGGTTAAGCGTTCGTGCGTAAGGCCGAAGTCCCGGGGTTCGAACCGTGAGAGGTTCAGGAGTCGTAGATGCGCACTGCTGATGAGTCTCATGCAAGGACGAAACAGCTATCCAGTGCTTCCAAGTTTCTAATGGTGGCCTAACAATGACTGATTGTTGAATTCAATATGTAAAAACACTAATCTCCATAACTCTAATCGAAAATATCCTATTAATCTTATCGTAAGCAGGACACCTGTGATCACACTATCAATTTGTACTTTTTTTCGACTGATATCACTGAATCATAAATTGCCTTGATTAGTTCAATAATTTCACTTTTGCATATAAATGTTATTGCATAATAGAGTGAAGCCTGATGAAGATCTAATTAAAAACAGTATTGTTCACTTATAAATGTTTGCCTGATTCACAATATATGGTAATTTTTAATATGTTTATTATTCGTCAGAACCAGTCATAATTTCATAAGAGTCTACAAATAATCCAGAAATATAATAATACAACGAACAGTTGAGTAGTCAGACTTGTCCACAGCACCTTTAAGGTTAAATGCAATATATATATATATATATATATATATATATATATAATAGGTGTTTAAGCTAAATTTCTTATTTGAACTACAACGAAGGGATATATACTAAACTAAAATAACCAGACTATGGTAATTCTGATAGTATATAGATCTTTTCACTTGAACATTTCCTGTAAAGATCACTAACAACTTCCCTGTATAACATAACCCATGGAATCAGTCAATTTTACAGTTTGTGAAATTCTCTATCATTCTTTACCACATTATCTCTAACTAAGCTAGCAGTTATGATTTCAGCTAAACAGTGTCAAATTGTTAAGTTAAACATTATTAAATTGTGATCAATAAAGTTTATGATTTATCCAATTTTTTTATAGAAAGCCTATATAGAATTCAAGATAATCATCTCTGTTGTACAAATATTGTGATTTAGTCATTTGAGTAATGAGAAAGCAATGGAAATGTGTTATGAATTAATTTATTAACGATGATTGGTTGAGAAACTGAAGTTTATGGTTGATTACATTTGATCGATAAGCGTTATGAAAAAGAAAGATACTTGTTGTCTCACCTACGCCCTAAATTTTAGTTGACAATGTTGATTAGAGTAAATTTATCTCTGCAAATGATGCAATATTTAGGCCTTTTCTAATTCATATGCCTGGAGAATGGTTGATCTCGGTGGTTATAACCAGATTCCAATGTAGGAGGAAATTAGGGAGAAGCGTTGGAAGTGGAAAAGACACATTGAGGAAAGCACCCAACTGCGTCACAAGACAAGCCCTCATTTGGAACCCTCAGGGTCAATGGAAAGGAGAAGCATTACACCGAGAAATGGAGACAGACAGGAGAAAAATGAACAACAGTTGGACAGAATTGAAAAGAAAGGCTCAGAACAGAGTTGGTTGGAAAATGCTGGTCGGCAGCCTATTACCCTTCGGAAGTAACAAGAGTAAGTAAGTAATAATAGGTTGGCTTTGTAAGCAAGGTCCCTTAAACTGTCTCGCCACTTTTAAGTGAAGCATATATCAGCAGTCATAATGAATACAAATGTATAATTATTGTAAAGAAGAAAAAATCTTGATGAGATAAAAATTAAATTTTTACTTACCGGAAAAACGCATGTTGTGAAGTACATGAATCCCATAATCTTTTGGCCAAACGGGAGTCTGTACACTGAAAAGTCAGCGTTACATCATGAATAAACTCAGAATCATTGAACTTTTTATCGGATCCCTTCACACCACTTGGTGAAAATGTTCTCCTTAGAGTTCCACGTTTACTTAAAGTTTCCCTATGAATTGATTTAACGACAATAATGAAATTTTTTGATTTGTACAATATTTTTACAATTTGAGGCCACGAAAACCGATTAACTCTTAACATCCCATGATAAAGTAGTATTCCGCCATGATATACACCTAAACATATACTTTCACCCGCAATCGTCTGTAAAATAAGTAAAGATAAAAACCCATTCTCATACTTTTATTATTATTTGTCAATCAAAATCTGAAAAACTAGACCAAATAAACCTACAAATAGTTTTGAAATTAGTTTTAATCTTATTCTACCAAGTAACAAGATCCACTACTCACGTGTGAACTATAAATTTTTAAGTGAAATTACTTCTCTATTACTTCAGCTGCAATAACAACAGTGTTTAATAGTAATTATACGGAATGTGAATATATCACAGAATAAGATGAAGCTAACCATCTAGACGTTAAATTCCATGGTTTAAAAAAAAATCAGTAATGCAAAAAGACTATTTAATTGTAATTTCTTGTACGAATAACAAACTGACAACCGAACTGATTAAAAAACAAAGTTAACATACAAAAGAAGTAAGAAGTTATTTCCTAACATCACCTCTTGGCAAAACAAGTTGGTAGAACTAGTCATACTACTTGCAACAAATAAGTAGTTAATAACTGAACGATATAGGTGAAAAGGGCAGAAAGTACCGATAAAATGAGAAGTAAAGTTTGTGAGTGATTAGTAAGCTGATAATATGTGTACAAATATAAGCGTTTTATGATCAAGGAGTTATGATGATCTACAATGTAATATAATAGTAATTAATGGAACGAATCTCTACAGTAGTCAAAGTACAATTTACAAGTAAATGTTCAACTTTGAAATTTCGATTTGTAGAAATAGTTGATTAATTTTTTCAAATTGTTGTAATAACCTTTTAATAAATGGAAAAACAAGACTCCTAGTTTTTAGCCACTTTTTTTAAAAAAGAGTTTTTATCCATACTCAATTTTATTAGCTGCTTGCTTACTTTAGAGTTAAATATTGGGTTGTTCAGTAGGATTATTCAAACTTAAAAGAAATAATAATCGTTTATCGATAAATAAACATCGTAAATCCATCAAATGTGTTATATTTTTATAATTATTCAGATGAAAGCCTAAGGGAGTAATAGAATTAGTTCTTGACGTCACTCGTGACATTAAAATCTAATGAGGTAAAGAATTATCCATGGAGCATTTTCTCTTATCCATTACCAGGATATTTGATTGAAAGTAATGAGTACGATTTATGGATTTGAAATGAAGACAACTATTATCAAGCGATTATGGTGAAACAAACTAAATTTCTATAAGACTTAGTTAAGCAGGCTAAACCTTAATTTAAGAGTTCGGTATCAATGTGCTGGGTGTGACAGATTTCTTCAGCTGCTTGGAAAGTGAAAAATACCTCCTACTTACTGAACCATGAGACACAACCATGAAGATATACGAGTACATGTCCTCATCATAAATATTAACTATACGATGATGCAGTATAACTTCATAAAAATAATAATAATAATAATAATTAAAGACAGAGTGCTAAACTTACCTTCGCCCTGTGAAACTCAACTCCATATAGTGAAAGTCTTCTGGCATTTTCTAAAAATCCTCGATCAGCCTGCACTAAACTCTCTCCTCTATAAATCATGGAATATAATAAAATAAATGAATTCACACTTTAGTATTGTTGTCTTTAGTTAAATAAGTTTATTTGATGTAAATAATTCATGCACACATATGCATTCATAATTTAAATCCTAATTATATTGTTGTACGTTATATTTAGAAAAAAAATTATTGGTTTTTGTTGACACCTGGAAAATTATGTCTTCGAAAACTTAGCTACTGATATGCGACGCACAATGAATCAAACTGAGTAGTTAATCGTTACCCAGAGAACTATATATATATATATATATATATATATATATATATATATATATATATCATTCCTCATTCTACGACAATTCATTAAAAGCAACGTTGGTACTTATAAGCTTTTCCTAATATGCAAATTATCTTATCACAATCTTTGTAAACTAATATATGAAACCACAAATCCCATCCATCCATCCAATAAAACGAAAATTAACCGCTTTAACTACTCATAAGGATAGTTAACAATGTTTAGTTTCTCAGTACTTGTTAGTAAACTTATTTAATGTCACTATTTACTAGGATATACTCATATTTAACTAAAAACCAGAAAATAAAAATTTGTTTGCTATTTCAACACATCAACACAATAATAAACTCACTGATGAATTCAATATTTATTACATAATCCGACATATACCAATCAATTGAGTTTTGAAATTTAGGTGCAGCTAAGTATCACTTTGTTTTCTAGTCAAATAAATACGCCCTTAAGGTTACTAGATACTGTTTTTAAAATCTTCACTTTTTGTCGATTTGTCTATCTTGATTTCAGGCAATAATGTTTTATTATCAGTTACTGTAAATTAACTGTCTCTCTCTATTTGAGTGACTAATTAATTTTTTAATTAAGATGAATGGAATGCAAATCAATATCTGCTTCCTGTTGATTATTTTCTTGTCTTTTAAAATTTTGAAAAATACCAACAGATTTTCAGGATACATTTTCCAGTACCTATTTACGCTTGGTACATATCGGAGTTTAAGTATGCGTTGAGTGATAGTTGAGAGCACACTCAATATTAATCGATGTACTGCTGTTTCACCTGAGACTAAAAATTAGTATCGTGTTAACTGTCTTACTGAATGACACTGATCTTGGCTTTAAAAAGAAGTCGATAACTTTTAAAAGGTATATGTCTACTCGTATTAAACATCTAAATACGAGATTTTCTAGTTTTTAACGACCCTCTAACTGCTTACTACTAATTTGCATATGCAGAGAAACATAATGGGCCACTGGTTACCTAACCTGCAAGTTAGTAAATAAAGTGTAGTTCTATGTCAGCTTTTTTCTTGTAAACAAAATGTATATCCCTCATCCAACTTCGTTACGTAATTATCATCCAAACATTAAAAAACATAAACTTTGCTCACTTACTTGTGAAGTTTGTGTAATTCAACAATCTGTTGAAGCATTTTTGTAGTTTGCAAATGTTGTGGTGCGAATGGAATATTGGCAATATAATCTGTTCCAATATGTGTATTTGGATCATAATCTCCAGCATCTGATTGAACTACATAAGCGCCAAGAACAACATAAGTATGGTGCGAACATGGAATCCTATTGGAAATAAAAAATTCAAATAATTTAGTGTGTAACTTTTTAAAAAGAAAAACTATTGCTCAAAACTTTCATAGTTTCAATTAGTGTATAAAGCTAACCTCCTAAAATGTTATTCAGTTTTCAATCATCCGATAGTTATTCATTCATGAATAAAATGTCATTTGTTCATGGACAATTTCCTTAGCAAATAACAAATAACCAAGGCAATGTAGTTAAATGTTTAGATGTTAGTTAGGTGAATAACGGAAACACTAAACTCTATCAGGGAAAATATACACAACTTGAAAACTGAAAATGGTTATCCACCTTTCCTGTTACCTGAACTACATTGAAATTTTATATGCGAAAAGTTTAATGTCAAGTGAACAAGCTTTTAATTGTAACAGTTAATGAAAATTATGGTCAAACTAGTTGGTTTAATTTATTTTATATTTGATTCTCAAGGTTATAATCGACTTCGCTCTAACTAAAATTTATTGAAATTAATAATGATGAATTAAGCAACAACTCTACCATTTGTAAAGATATGAATCATAAGTGGAAAGTACTATCCATACAAATTAAACCTCGTTACCCTATTATCTTTACAATGGTATATGAACATCATGACCATATTAGAGTTTGGATCTTAACTGAGTGACCCTAAATGGAAAATATGTCAAAAAGATACTCATGAATTATGTTTATTATCCTACTGCGATATGCACTGGGAAACAATGCACAGAAACACTGCTCTACATTTTCCTCACATACAACAATTTCTTATTCATAAAGCCATATGTTTGTATAAACACGAATCATGACACTGTAATCGTTGAAAGCATCAATATAATTACATTTAAAATTTACAAAAGTAAATTTTCAACGGCATTTAGTCTAAGAGGCTTCATATACACATAAAGTTAAGTACACGTTTCATTCTTATTACATATATATAAAGGAGATGTACATTTTTATCTTAATAAAATTTAAAATTTACATCACTAATTTGATTAAGCTAGACAGTCAGTATAAATAATATCTTCATTTTATTAATGGACTTCCTAGTAGTGTGCATCCACTGATACCAGAATTAAAATACAAGGCACTTACATCTGTCGGCTAATGTGTTACTTTTATGAGGCTTCAGTCACTTCAAAAGTATTGTGTGATTATGGTTCATCATCATCGATGGCATCAGACTAACGTCTGGTTGAGTTCCGTTGGTCACAGTCACTCAACAGAAATGCACGCTACTTTGCAAAGTTATTCCAATCACTTCAGATTATTTAAACTTGGATATGGGTAACCATATTTTCACTGCCGTAATAGGTCTTCTTCAACATGACTAGAACGATATTAGCCTCTTTTCAATGAAAATATGGTGCTTATTAATGATTTTTATAAAATACGAAAATACATCATCCCTCTAATATTACTTTCGAATTATGATTCGTGAGTAAATATAACTAAAATTGTTGAATGTAGATTGTACACTTGGTAATATACTTTTAATATCTAACCATTTTAAGATGCTTGATTTTTTATAATGACGTGGAAAATTGATTTAACATTATAGTAAATGGTTTAAATTAACGAAAATGTTTTGATTCTCATAAACCAAGTGACAGAGATAATTTTAAACAAACAAATTATTTAGAATAGTGCAACTTCATTTAAAATAAAAATCTAGCACTTTTGGAAAAATCATTTACTCACTGTCCAGAGATTATGTCTTGCCTTAACTGTAAGCATAAAAAATACCGAGTCAAATCATCTTTGAATACATCAATGTTTGGTGGGTAGAATCGAACACGGAATTCCAACTTCCATGGTATTTCTATGCAAAAAAATTATGTGAATGGGAGAAATATACTGAGAGTAAAGAAAGAATAAAAACATACAAGTGATTATGCATACTGGAAATATTCAGTGGAAATTTTATTTACTTTTTTTAAAGATGTAATATATTGACTGCTAGACATCTATATATTTACACATCAGTGAAACATTTCTTGATACAAATCATTGTTTTACTGCCAAAAAATTAGGATAAAAGTCGAAGATAGTTTTGTTTCTTTGTAATACAGTGAAATCTGCATCTACAAATAACCTATTTGAACTGTTTTCCCAAAAATAGATTGAATGACACTGAATCCTCGTTATTATTGTTGTTTTTATTGAAATTTCAATAGTCATTTTCAATTCTAAACAGTTGCGTAACTGTAGGTTTACTCTATCCTAATTCATCAAAGTTATATTGTTGTTGGATTCTGTCTGAAGCCATGCTTAAGACTACACCCAATCCATAACCCCGATAAACTAGCGGGATTGTGTGTGAGATTAGCATCCTGGTTAAGAATACGCTAAAAAACTAAGTGATTATCAAATTTCACTACTCTCAATTTAACAAACTATTTCTTTACCTAAACAAGGGTCTCAAAAAACTGTGATCTGTGATGATAAGGCTAAATTTCAAAATAAGATGAATGAGATTGTAATTATTCTCAACCTATAAATGTTTGTTTTTGAATTCTAAGTTTCATCATTTTATCAAATAAATAACAATCTATATACATAAAATAATTGAAACAGCTGGTCATCAGGATTGTGGAAATATTTTTGAATGATAAAAAAAATATGAAATTAATAAATCTAATCATCAACCAATGATTGTTAGACCACCATTAGAAATTTGGAAGCACTGAATAGCCGTTTCGTCCTGGTGTTGGACTCATCATCAGTGCGCATCCACTACTCCTGCACCTCGCAGGGTCGGAACCCGGGACCTTCGGCCTAGAGCGCGAACACCTAACCTCTGGACCACTGAATCGGCATCCAATGGCGCTAATGTCTAACTCTGATTGATCTACGGATTTCGCTTCCAGGTTTCTAATAGTGGTCTAACAATGATTGAGTGATGATTTCAAATGTGCAAAAACACTAATCTCCATAACTTTAGTTGAAGATAAGTAAATGTGCTCTGGGAAACCGTACAGTATTTTGCAATGAAAGTTATTGAAAACATACAAATCGAAACATCTTTTCATTTTATGTTTCCTTATTGATAAATACTAAGAAATTATGATTGGTCATTACAAAATGTGTAGTAAATAAAAGTAAATAAAAGACGTTACAGCGAAGAAAAATTTTTTTCGACAATATCATTTTCTGCAGCTGTTTAGTCGTAATTATAAGCAATCTTTCATGTGTGAAATAGAAACACAAAACTATCAAAGTGGAAAACAATGGAAATAAAGTAGTGTTGCTTAATTCGATCAAGATTATCAAACAGTTTCAAGTGTTGAACAGAATAAACTTAAAAATGTTAGGGTTCTATTTCAATGTAATTAATTTTTTAAAGTATTGAGTGAAAAGCGATTACAGCATTTAGCGAAGTAATCAGAAATTATCAAGAGCTTACATTACGCAGTAGTTTTAGAAGCAATAAGAGATAATAATCTACGGATTGAAAGTTAAAGAAAAATGTGTACTTTATAGAGCAAGAAAAGATGAAGATGTTAATTAACACCAAGACTATGATGAAGTAAAGAACTGAACATGACTCTTGTACGCAGAGGTCGGGTTTGAAATGTTGAATTACTATATCCTCAGATGTGCAAATATTTCTCAGTCAAAAAAATTTTAGACGGTCCTTTGCACTTAGTAGATGATCATGAAAGATGATCGACGCGAAAAGTTATGATCCGAGTTTGCCTTATGTTGGAGGATCAAACTGCTGATCGATTTGCATCCTCGTTTAGATGGCTATGCATGATAGTGATCGGAAATTCATTTACTAAGTGTATGCTTTGTACGGTCAATATAACTTGCTCCAAATGAACGAGTAAACTGATAAATGTTTAGTTAACTTGACGGATGATTTAGTTAACAAGCGAGAATGAACTTTCATTTAAGTTACAAAACAAAATTTATTGATATTTTTGACGAAAATCAATCGCCTTGATGCTGTGCATTTGGTTTGATGGCTACAAATACAACCTATTTTAATAGTATGTTGTTTCATACAGCCCTACCAATAAACTAAGTAGGCTGGAACTATTTTGTAAACCCTAAGAGTTAATCGAATTTCATTGATGTAGATGTGTTTAAAGTAGTTACTAATCTTAAAGAATGAAGATTACACTAAACTATATTCGGTTCATAAATACTTAAAATTAGTACTTAACAAGCATATAAGAATATTTATGTTTGAATAATCTTATAATCACAGCTGTATATGACATTTCAACAACTGAATGCTAATCAAACAAGACCACATACTTTAGAAATGAGATGAATTTCGAGTCAGGTTCATCGAAAAAGGACCTAGTAAACAAATAACTATGATACTGGTTAACAAAACTTCGTCAGTATGTATCCGGTGAAATATGTGTAATTAAGATTTATTCATCATAGAACAATTAGCAATTTAATTCGATACATGATTAGTCCACTTTTATTATGATGTTTATAGGCATGTTATGCTGGCACGGTGATGATATATTTATCGACGAAACATTATCTCATTCTGTGACATTCAGTTTAGAATTTTCTTTTTATAGACGATTTATTATCCGAATTACATGCTTATGATTAGCTTTCTTTCCTTTTTTTGAGTTTTGATCTAAACGATTTTTGTAACTGATCATCACTCAGCTAATGATTAAGGCAATCGATTGATAGGTGAAGTCCAACTTTGCTCATTATTCCTCACTTTATTACTATTGGATAGATTACCATTTTTTAAAAATCATTATAGAGATTATTTTCATATTCCGTTGATGCCAGTTAGAAAAAGCTTGCAAAAATACCAACATTAGGCAGACGTTCTGTCCTATTTTGATAAGTTTTAACACTTCTCAGCATTGATCCGACAACAAGGTAGATGATATCCAGGTCCTTAGGCTTTACAAGTAACACCGTACAATGCAACTAATGCGGCAGAACCGACTCGTTTCAATTACTCAGTCTTAGCCAAACTTGAATTTGACATCGTTGTTCTCAAACAAAAGAATATGAATAGTTTATTCATAAAGTAAAATTTTCCTAGTACACAAGTGTTTGATGTGATAAATTAGAAATATGTTCTAAACTAAAAAGACTAGATATATCCATCCTTTTAAATTTACTAAATGATCATTTAGTCTACAAATTAATGAAATGTATTCAGTCTATATTTATTTGAAATTGTTCTGGTACTTAAATTTAAAAACAAAAGCATTATTATTAATATTTATTTACTTAATAACTCACTTTCGACTTGTTTAGCGATACGTTTATCAAGTTTCAGCCAATTCTAAAAGATAAAATAAATAAAAAATTAAATCTAACTAACCACATATACAAATAAGTAAATAAATGCATAATTATGAAAGAGAGAGTGTGTAATTAACATATGTAAATAATACGATAACTAAGTATCATTTCATCATAATTAAAACTCATTGAATATCTGCACGCCATAGTTCCTACGCCTGCTACCTCTCCTGTGGCATAGGCCACCTATGACTAATCGCTAAATTATTCTTTCCTGAGCTTTCTTTTTCAGTATTTGTCCAGTATCATTCATTCTTTTGATGTTTGTTTGTAATTCCAAGCGTAATATGTTCTTTGGTCTGCTTTTTTTTTATCTTTTCCTTGAAGATCTCAAGTAGGGGCTTGTTTTATGGAGCAGTTTGATGATTTCTGCAGAGTTTGTCTTATTCCCTTTCAGCATCACTCAATTTTCTCTTCGTCCAGAAGCTGGTTTGTTATCTGCCACAGTAGGTTGTTGCTGATAGTGTTTGGCCAACAGATCCTAAGTACGTTACGTAGACAACTGTTTACAAATACCTGTACTTTTTGATGATGATTGTAGTAGTTCTCCCTCTTGTTTATCAATAATGCTCCCCAGATATGTGGATGCTTCCACATCTTCCAGAGCTTCTCCATTAGATGTGATTTGGTTAGTGCATGTTATGTCGCATCTAAGGATCCTGCTTTTTCCCTAGAGCATGTTGAAGCCTACTGCTAAAGAGGCTGCTACTACATTGGCGATTTTCTCCTGCATTTGTTGTTGTGTGTGGAGTAGAAAGGTTAGATCATCTGCGGAGTGCAGATTGTCCAGCTGCATCCGATCTGTTCACTGTATCCCTTTCTTCCCCTCAGACTTTGACGTCTTCATAATCCAGTCACTCTCACGAGTAAGAGAAAGGGTGAGAGTAGGTAGCATTGTCTGACATTGGTCTCCACTATCAATGAGTCTGTGATCTGCCCTACCTACATGATTTTGCAATGTAGACCATCGTATGAATTGTGTTTGATGTTGACCATCTTCTCAGTCATACCATGGTATCAAAGAGAATTCCATTGAGTTCTTCTATCCACCCTATCAAATGCTATCTTACAGTCAGGGAAGGTAGCACATAGTGATGAGTTCCACTCAACTGAGCGTTTTACAATGATCAGTAATGTCACGATATAATGAATGCACGAAACTCCACTTATAGCCTTTCTAGGGTTACCGCTAGCTCCAGGTCCAGATAAAGGAAAGTTAGAACGGGGTAAGCAACCCAATTCCGTAGAAAAGAATCTTACCAAAACAAGCGTTACCCAGAAAACATCATTCAACTATACTCCATTTACGCGAAAACCGAAATAGATATAGTTTTATTAAACAAATGATGGATACACAAACAAGAGTTATCAAAACGTTATTGATCTTTCTACAAAGAACCTTAATATTGCTTTAAATGAAGTAACCAAATATATTTTTTGGGTCACTGAAGCATAGTTTCTTGAATTGAAAAATTAAATTCAACTCTCATTGAATATGTTTAGGTTTTTAGTTTGTTCTTTTAATTTTGAAACATAAATACGAACAAGAGATTTTTTAAAATTAAATATGAAACACTTAGGAGACATAGAAACAGCGCTGTGCCATAATAAAAAAAAAGACATTCCGACAATATTTAGAAAATTTATGTGCTCTTTTTCAATTAGTTTGCGTTGAAATCAACCAATTAATAGTAGAAACATTTAGGATTACAGGGTTTCGCATTTTCAGATTTTAACTAATTCATTTTGTTTTGTTGTGCTGTCTAAATTTTGATAATAGATTTTACTTGAAACACAAACAATTTATTTATGTGTGCCAAAATTTATATGAGTAGACAAGTGTAATTATAAAAGGCACAAAGTGAATATATATATATATATATATATAGACAAATTTCAGCTGAATCAGCCTACAATAGATGTGTGTACATGCAGATAATTTCGTGTCCCTCAAACTAGACTATGGACTATGTAACATTGTAAATAAATACGTACTGGATGTATATGAAGCAATTATTTGGTTATTATCGTATATAGCAGATCTAAACTCCAAAACTTGTTCTATTTTAACTTAGAGTTTGCTGCTAAGCTTCTGGTTTATATAACGAGGTAATATAAACTAAATAATCACTAAAAATATAAAATTACGTCACATCAACTGGTAATTTGCTTCAGAAGTTAAAATTACAATTTTTTATCGTTATCATCAACCATTTTCATCAAGTTGTTTGTATTAGAATAAGTAAAATTCATAATTGGATGGTACAGAAAGTCTTCAAGTTATTTATTTAATAGATTATTGCTTTTTCAGAATACCGCTTACCCACAAAAACTGTTCAATCAGTATTGTTGGTTCTTGGTATGACTTTAGATTGGGATTAAAACTTGTTAGATATTTCACTACAGATTTAGGAAGTGTAACTAATTTTGTCGAAAACTGTAAATCCCTGTGATAAAACTGTTGTGAGAAACTTTACGATAAACTCCTGTAATATTATCTCCAAAATTACAAATACAATTCAAAAAAATAAATGATATACGATTGTTCTTATTATAACGGTATATTTCATCTAGTGAGTTATTATAAAACACTCATTACTTCAAATGAATACACATAACATAAAGTGAATTTAACAGTAAGCATATTACTGAGACATTATTTTAACGATGAGTTATTATTGTGTTGAACAATACAATGTGACTAATGGCCCAATATAATAAATATATATTAAATTAGTCATTCAGATTCACTTTGCTGAAAAAACTTTTAAAGTTAACATATAAGACTATTCATGACACTTTAGGTTACCATCAAGCAAGTGCTTTCTAGTAAAATTGAAAATACTTCTTTGACATAAAGGTATGCTACTGCTGAACTGAAGAGCTTTTTAGTTAGTTGTAATGTATTCTTAAATCAATTATGGTACCGAAAATAAAGTTATCACATGTTTCATTTACGTCAAGGAAGTTTCCAATTTTTTCAAAGTAACAGATGGAATAATGTAGCAAAGTATATTCGTAGTGACCAAACAACACATGACTATTCAATGTGAAGAATTGGAATAAATATCTAGTAGTAACCTAGCAAGGTGTCTTAGGGAATTACACATTCATTTAGTAGAAATTAAAAACCCCGAAGGTGGCATATATGCTCTTATTCACCTATGAGGATTTAAGCATAACCAAATTAAACTTCATACTCTTCGTATAAACAATAAACAGTTCGAAATATGGATTTACTCATTATTGAAATTAAGTGGTCATTTTATATAGCTAAATGATAAAATCATTTTCGTAAGTTAACAAAGTCTTTCTTCTGAAGTATAATACTGCAAGCAACTCATAGAAAAACCTAGCAGAAGAAATATCAAGTAGTTACCGGACTTTTATAATACGGTAGTAATTGAAAAAAATTCAATAAAGTAAGAAACATACAGAATTTTCAGTACAAATATCAAGATAATTCCACTGTATGGAGCAGAAACTTGGAGAACTAACAAAACCATCATCCAGAAGATATGAATGTTTATTAACAGTTGTCTACTCTAGATAATTTGGATCCGTTGGCCAGACACCATCAGCAACAACCCATTCTGGGAGAGAAAAAAATCCGATTTCAGGTGAGGAATAAATTAGGAAAAGTGATGGAGATGAATAGGACACATATTTAGAAAATCACCTAACTCCGTTACAAGACAAGTCCTCAAGACCAAACAAAAAGAGGAAGGCCAAATAACCCATTACACCGAGAAACGGAGACAGACATGAGAAGAACGATCAACAAATGAACACAACTAGAAAGGAGGGCCGAAAACAGAATTGTTTGGAGAACACTGGTCCGCGGCTTATGCTCCACTAGAGGTAACAAACAAAAGGGAAGGTGGGAGAGGAATATAAAACAACAAGTAAATTCAACTGTTCCATTAAAACTAATTTCAGACAACATCAACTAAGGTCGTCATTCATATGATTACACTTGCCTCTCATCTAATAACTTGAACGTTTGCCAGTGAAGAAATGAAATTCCAACAGCTGATCTAAATTGCCTCTTACCTAAACTTAGTCACCTCTGATATTTTTTGTCCTCCCCCTTCCCTAATCAGCATTGATCTTTATAGTTTGTAGTGGATTAACATACGCACCACATGTCCAAAGCATTTTATTTGAAAAACATAGAAGTTTTGTATCCCTATGATAACCGAAGTCGAACTTCAGGATTATTAACTCATGAAACGTAAGTGGAAGTCTTATGACTTGTAAGATGAAATGTTTGTCAACTGCATGCACTTTGACCCTTTCAGAATCTATTTTTGCATTCATTAGGCAATACGAGGTACATTTTTGAGTACTACAGTAGAACTCTGAAAAACAGATGGAAATTTCACTCACGTTACAGGATAACAATTTGATAAGATCTAAGTGACCCATTCATATCAAAATCTAGTTCTCATTAACCACCAACACAGTAAAGAAGTCAGAGTGAAAAGGACTGAAATGACCAGTGTGTTCAATAAAATGTTTCCTTGTTATCATACTAAACATTAAAGAGAAGCAGTTGTGAAACGATTTTCTGGATTTGCGTGTAGAGAAACACATTCCAAATATTTTGTCTTTACTAAGTGGGCGTTTATATTAATAATTAATTACTAATTAAAACCTCTGTAAAATATAGGTGGGATGAATGAAGTAATGCCGTTAAATCACAAATATTTTTGTGAAAATTTAACTTACGATTGGTAAGCAACAGACATGGTTTGTTATTATACTAGCATACTATACTATACTATACTATACTATACTATACTATACTATACTATACTATACTACTAAACTTATTCAATACTTCATAAATTTTGATTGATATATTTATAAAATTTTACTATAAGTGAATGATTATGAATGAAAAAGTAGGCTTTCACGGATATTCCTGCCAGGAAAATGATAAGACGAACCACGCAATTTCAAAGATCAAGTGTAATA